CTCACCAGCGGCTCTTCAACCCCCAGCTGCTGCATCCTGCTCTCCATGGCTGCCTCCTCCTCCTCCTCCTCCTCCCAGCCCGGGCTGCCCCGCAGCAGCCGGGGCAGAGGGCTTTATACCAGGGCGCTGGGGTGGGGAATGGGGCGGCCCCTGTGAACGGTCTCATGGCCCCGGTGTGCAATCGGGCTCTGGCGTGCAATCCACTTCACTTCTGTTTGCTGACCGCCTTCCCCGGGGCTGGATTCCCCTGGGAACCCGCTGGTCAAGAGGCTCCGAGGGCACTTGTCCCCGAGCATGGGGGCCTCTCTGCTGCCCAGAAGCGAGGTGTCGGGGCCAAAGCAAACCCTCCTGCGTGGGTTAGAGCTGCCCTCCAGGGTGGAGCATCTGGCAATGGCTGCAGCCAAGGCGAGACCTGGCTTGCCGCCCGTGTCCCTTCGCCAGCTCGGGCACCTGGAGCTGCTCGAGGCGGGCAAAGTGCAAACGGGACATCAAAGCTTTCCCACAAACTGCGAGGCTGGGGTGGGAGCGGGGTCACCACGGGGTGGGGACGTGTCCCCGGACCATGGCCAGGCTGGGTGCTCCGCAGCCTTGGTCCTGGGGATGCTCGGGCACTGCAGGGGCTTGTGTTGCCAGCGCTGGGGCTTTCGGGGCTGCCCGTGGTGCGGATTTGCTCAGGGAGAGGGGGGGTCCCAGCTCTGGCATGTCACCCTGGGTAGTGCAATCAGCAGGGCAGGGTGACACCGCTGTGCCTTGGTCTTGTCTGGACATGAGCCTCTCCTGCAGTTGGGCTCAGGCTGGGACCTCTCCAGCCACCCCTGGGCCCACTCCTTGGTGCCCTGGGACACCAGATGCTTGCAGCCGGGTGTGGGGGTGAGGGTGTGCACCCCGTGTTGCACGCTGCCTCCTGTCCCAGGGTGTCGAGGAGCACAGGAGACCCTGGAGTTGCTCCTGCCTGTTTGCTCTCCAACACCATGTGCAGGAGAGGCTGTGGGAGCCCTTATCGCGCACCCTTCTCGGCTCTGCTCTTTGCCAGGGTGACGCAGGGTCAGGGCCAGCCCTGGGATTTCGGGGAGCAGAGCTGCCGGCCCTGTGTCGACCTGTGGCAATGTGCAGTTTCCCTCCTGTTCCCAGCAAAGCGTCAGCCCCCAGGGGCTGCGACCCTCCTCGCTGCCCGTGGCAGTGGCCGCAGGGACGACCCCGAGTTAGTGCCTGCTGAGAGGTTAAATCACGCTGCCCAGCACCGCTGTGCTCCTGGGGGGGCTGGCTCGCGTCCTCCCGGGGTCTCTTTTCTCCCTCTGAGCCCTGTTGATCCCCTGGTCTCTGGTGCAGCGCTTGGAGGTGCCGCCCAAGGATGCTCCCAGCTGCTTTGGGGCAGAGGAGCTGGAGCTGCTGGGGACGGGGAGCGGGCGGGGGATGGAGGGGAGCTGGAGCAAGCAGATCATGGTGTCTGTGGATGCCCTGCTCAGCCCAGGGCTTGGCTCTCACCGGGGATGTGGCACAGTCCCTCTGTCCCCATCTGCACACGGAGGGGACAAGGATGGGGAGCTGTCCCGGAGGGGTGGCCCAGACCCCGCAGCGGTGCCGGTGCTGGCTGGGGGCGCTGCCT